TCCTATTTTTTGATATCGTAGATGGTCCAGGTCTCACCGGAGAAAGCAATTGAATCAAATTTTCAATTCGCAAAAACGCAAAGGAAAACCAGGAGGATGAAGGGGAAGCGAAAGGTCAAAAAATCATCAGTTCCATAATGCAATCTATGCAAGAGCGAGGGTATAGTAGAACGCTCCACAACGTGAATTTGGATCCATTTTTCAAGCCTTCATCAGCGCTTTTTTGGAAAATGCGCAAGTTCATTGATCAGAAACCACTTGAATGCAAACAAAAAAAGCTGCTAGTGAATATGTAGCAAGAAAATGGCTCTAAATTTGCGTAGTGACGAGATCTGCAGCGGATAAAAAAAAACGATGAATTACTTTTTCCTTTAGGGCAGGGCCCTGGAATTTGTTGGGCCTTTGTTTTTCCCAAGATCTGTTGAGTACAGCAGTGTGTGTTTTGGATTGGTATTCCATTGGGTGTACAAAGGGTATCTGCCTGCCAGACAATGACCTCGGACTTGACCAGGGCCTGATGCTGTAGGGCCAGGAAAAGAGAAATGATAGGCAGGCCTAAAATGGAGCGCATAATGATCTTGATTCTGTGTCGTTTGTTAGAAAATAATTTACGATTGGTTGGTGTCGTACAAGCTGGGATGGGAAACCTACGGCAATTTATAGACCAACGCTAGCCACTGCACTACCAAAAACCTCATGCTTCCTAAATTTAAGCCTCATGTTTGTGGCTTGGTTGCGTCTAACACAGCTCCATCCAATGCCGCCGGCGCTGGGCGTCAAAGCGAGTCAACGGTGGCCCACCCCCGGGGCCGGCAATGATAGCAAGCCGCGAATTTTTATCCAAAGAATTCCAAAGGTTTGATACAAGTCATTGCACATGCAGCAGAGCCTTGAGAGGGATGTTGGCGATGTCGCCAATTTTGTTTGGTCGGGCCTCCATAGCATCTCTTCAATAGGGGCGTATTCCTTCCAGCTATACATGTGCTTTCAAGGTCAATGACGTTGCACATACATACCAGGTGTCTTGCCAAATAATATGAGCTGGAATCGTACCGCCGGCACTTGCCGGTCGGGCAAGCTGATCCAGCCGATTTCCGAACAGGTTCCGATTGTTTATCCGCGGAAGCCACACACTTGATACACACAACGGCCGGACTTGAGACAGAAAGTGGGCAGTGTATCGTGCTGTTTCGTTGATGTCTCCAAGTCGTCTTCCCTTCACAACAGTACATGGTGGCGCCTTATGAAGTTATGTGCACCCTTTCCGGCTCAATACGTATTCAGTTTAGGTGAATGTGATTACGCGTCTTGTCCAACAATTGTAGGTAGGACTAGGGTTCCGATCCGGTGCCTCGAAGTCGGATTCCGAGCATCCCGCACCCTGACCCCGCAGATATCCGACAGCTAGCCGGGCTCCTCCGGGTATCTAGAAAAACAAAAACTTTTTGCCATACTGCTGTGAAAAAAGGGGGTTTGTGAAAGTCGGAGCTGAGGTGCAGCAGCTTAGATTAGGCCCCCCACCAGGTTTGATGCGGGTAATCCCCACAAATCCCCAACTTCTAGGGGTTTTCAGCATCCGACTGGATGTCAGATCTCTCTGGGCCAATCCCAAACCCTGATCCGTTCCGCAGGTGTTCCGGATCTTGCCGGATCTGCAGGGTCCGGATCAGAACCCTATGTAGGACTAATCAAAAAAATACTGCTGGTGTTTGCTGGTCAAACAAGTTAGTTGAGACCGCTTGGTGGACAATTTTGGGCTGGGGAACTCTGGTGCCAACGGTGGGCCACAAGTTACAGCTAACCATACAACTAACAAAAGTTACAGATTGAATACTTCAGTTGTACAGGAAAATTAAATCATCAGGGATTGGTCTTTCCTGTTCCTTGAAGTGGTCTGGAACAAAAAGTCTTTTGGTCAATTAATTTATTTTTAACGAGGGCATAGCCCCCATTTTTGGGGTCAGAGGGGGGTTTTAAATGAAAGGGAGAACAGGATTGGATATAATTAGGATACTTGAGAGATTTCCTGGTGATAAAATTCTCACAAAAATGGGTCTCCTTCCACTTGATGTTTCTCTATACAATTGAAGTATCCAAGTCCAGAAACATAAACATGAATAAGGCTTCGTTTGGCCGTCCACAATTGTTGTAGACCGTCATCGCAAATTGTCAAATCAGAATTTAGGTTTGATTCCTTCAGGCTGTGCAAATGACGCAGCCTGAAAATCCATGTCAATAACGATGTGGCTGTTTGGTGCACCTCGGGAGTGGATGATTGGAACGGTGGTTTAGAGGACAGGGAGGCATTGTGCCAGTCAGAGGGGGTGGTGTGCAGCTGGGGGGTGATGTGGTGTTGTTGTAAGGGAAAGCCGAGGGTGATGAGAGCACAGAAGTGGCACTTATGACGCAAAATTTTGGGGGGGGACCCAAAATCTTGGATTTGGCAAGGAATATATCTTGGTTGGCCATTTCTGTCATAAGAGAGTGGATATGATGTGGCCTCCCAAACACCATTGTGAGGCCCCATCATTAGCTGTCCACCCCCGAAATATTTGCCATGATTGTTTATGACGATCATGGACGGCCAAACAAAGCCTAAGGCTCCGTTTGGCCGTCCATGATCGTAATGGACCGTCATCTGAAATCATCAACTCGAAATTTAGGTTTCACAATTCCAGGCTGTGCAAATGACGCAGCCTGAAAATTGTTCTCAAGTCGATGTATGGGTGTTTGGAGGACATTGTCTTAGACGAGATATGATCCTTGAGTGTTTGGAGGTTGCACCTTGACTGCCCTCGTAAAAGATACCCTTGAGCCCCACTGAGGTCACCCATGAACAACGACTTCACATCATGACTTCCCCCCCTCCCGCCCCCCAACGAGACCTCTCTAGTATCCAAATCCACTCCAGATTCCAAGAGCAGCAACTTCGTGTAATGATCAAACTCCTCATTATCATTGTTATTCTCGCCACACTCTATGAATGGTCCAAAAGCTTCAAGAGCCCATACAACAACTCCTCCCTGCCTGGTGCTCGCTACGTAGAATTTATCTTAAGGGGGAATCGATCTCGTTGTAGGACGATGTTTCGATTAAACAACGACACCTTTGAGTTACTTGCTCAGAAGCTCTCACATCTCGATTTCCACCCAGCTTCCAGAGCCCTTGCCATGGAGGAGCAACTGGCCATCTTTATGTATATTGTTGGCCAGGCCGCTACCAATCGACAAGCTTAAGATCGATTCCAACACAGTGGAGAAACTATCTCGAGAGTGTTCCACCATGTTATGGGCCTCATCCTTCAGCTCGCTCCAATGTACATCAAAACGGCCCGACCTAACGTCACTCATCCATCAATCTTTGACAATCCAAAATTCAGTCCTTTCTTTGATGCATGCTTGGGGGCATTCGACGGCGTGCATGTCCCGGCAAAGGTTCCTGAGGCATTGGCCGGTCCCTACCGAAATCGCAAGGGATTCCTATCCCAGAATGTCTTAGCCGTGGTCGATTTCAACATGCGTTTCACCTACATGTGTGCTGGATGGGAAGGATCTGCCCACGATGCAAGAGTTTTGGCTCATGCACGCTCCACCGATTTTGTCATCCCAACCAGATCCTTCTACTTGGCCGATGCGGGATACTCATTATCGCATGGCGTTCTTGTTCCATATCGCGGGGTCCGATATCATTTGCGAGAGCAAGCGGCGGCAAACCAAAGGTGTGTGCTCTTGATTTGCCTGTTCTAATAGATTTTGCACTTGCTGAACTGTAGGATCATCAACCTATGTGTCCAGGCCCTCAAACAAGGAGGAATTGTTCAATTTGCGCCATTCATCCTTGCGCAACGTGGTTGAGCGCACATTTGGTGCATGGAAAAAACGATTTCCAATCCTCACCCACCCACTCAAGTACAGTATTGAAACTCAACGCGATCTGGTTTTTGCGTTGGGTGTGATTCATAACTTTGCGATCAACCACTCAGAGGCCGCCGGTGATGATTTTTTTGAATTTGATCCCACCGAGTTGGCTGCGGCTCTGGACGCAAGCGATGGAAACAATCTGACTCCGGGTGAGCCCATGCAACTCACCAATTGTGACAAAGAAGAACTGCATCAATGGCGAGACGAGATCGCCGAGCAGATGTGGGAGCAGTATCAAGCCGTTCAACGTAGTCGCCAGGTAAGAACATCCAGGGCTCGACACCGCCGTGCTTCTCAACTCACAACCGATCTTGAATAAATATGGTGACTTGTGTCTTCTGAGCAACACTATGATCTTAACCATCTGTTTTTTGTGCCTACAAAGTTTGATGTTATGATAAGCAGCCTCATTACCTGATAACAGAAACCCGGTCAAACTTCTTTCTCTCTATGACTGCTTTTGTATCCTTGAGATTGTTTGATCCCAGCCTTACCCAATCCTAAAGTTGTTTCTTGCCTCCTGAATCAGCTTGTCTTATGTACTTCAAGCCGTCTGATCAGACTCCTAGCCTTACATGCTGCAACTCCTTGTTAGAAGCAATATCATTCAAACCATGCTGAATGCGTGGTGACTTACATAAATAAATAAAAAGCGAGAAATTCATTACCAACTTGATGGCAATCTCATCTCAGCTATGCTAACTAACTACTCTCAAGGGTGAGCGAGCTTAACCAATCATACATGCATCATGTGGCCAGCCAGGTTAATAAGCCAATCAATCGGAGAAGGAACTTCAGACATTGGTAAGGATAATAATTGAGCTAGATAGTAATAGACATAGAGGTGATGGTTATCGGACATATCAACAAATTGGTTTGGGTGATTGTGGATCATTTGGGGGGATAAAACTATGTGAGTGACACAAAGGTCATCCGTAACAAGCAAGCTGATGATGGCATTCAATCGGTCTTATCAATCAAATACAGAAAGTGGTGGTGTTTGGGGGTTAGGTACTACTAGGACAGGGGAAGTCCTTGTGCGAATTAAACAAACTATCGCTCAGTTGAGGATCTTGCATGTGTGTCAGCGTCAATCAGTCAGATTGTTTGCGCGTCTTTCTTGATCTCATAGGAGAGCCATTGGTTTTTGTACATGTTGTCCAGTTTGAGGTACATGCGCGCCTTGGACAGCTTTTCGAGGACACTAAAACCAACGACCAAATCAGACCACGCAAGCTGAGGTGCCATCGTTGATTGGAACAAGTCGACAGCCTCGTCCGTTAGTCGCTCGGTCGTCTGAAGGGCCGCTGCCGGTTCTGGATTAGTCAGATTTTTTGAGGACTGTGGGGCAAAAGCCTCAATGAGATCATGGATCGCACTGCTGAAAGCTGCACCCGTGGTTTGGCGGATTCGTTTGCGTGCAGGAGCCTTGCTGCGGGCACGGCCTTCTCCCTCATCGTTTTCCGAGCTGGAGCTTTTGTCTGCAGGCTTGTCTCGGACAGTGCCCTCCTTTGCATGTTGAGTCAGACTCTTTGCAGCGTCTCCGGTGGCGCTCGCTCCAAAAATCACTTGAAGTTGTTCCCATTCCGGAAACGGCTGATTGCGGAAACGACGGGCCTGGGGATGAGACTGTAAACCAGATGTTAGCCTCCAGTGCAGAACGGGGACAAGGAAGACAACTGACCTTCAAGAAGTGTTCCCAGACATCGTTTGAAGCAGTAACCTCGCATCGGATTTCATCCCACCCAAATCCGCTTGCATTGCGACAGGCAAGAAATGCATCGTATTCTTTTTTGAATGACTGTTAATCATGTCAAGATCAGTGTAAGCAACGAGAGAGATGATGAACAAAATCCCAAGAAGCATAGACTCACCTGGCTCAGCTTTGATTTGCATTTGCTGATGGTGAACTCGGCCCCTGGAAACTGCTCGTTGAGCTTATTTACCACGTGCTGATGTACATCAGATTTAAAACCATTATCCAATCGTCTTCCTTCCAAGGCCGCATCGTAGTACAACTGAATAGCAGCTTTCTCCATGACGCTTGTCCATTGAAGGGTCCTGGGACGGGTTGTTCCACGAGGCGTTTCTGAATCACCTGAATCCGAACAAGGCTGGTTTGCAGTAGATGTTGGAGCTGGAGTCTCACGGGGATTTAGCGGCGCCAAATTAGTTTGAATTGATTCCACTGAGGACCAAGCTGGTGGGTAAGAACTGTGCAAGTTGGGATGGAAATTACCCCATTGCAAATATTCAAGTGGGGGTAGACTTTGACTGGCGGCCCAATCCATGTGCGAGATGGAAGGCAAAGAACGATCCTGTCGGACCTCGGTGGATTGAATTTGCAATCCCGACATGGGGATATGATCTAAAGAACTACTGTTTGAGGCCGCTGCAACAGACAAGGTGTCAGCCACAGAGTACATGTCACAGTACCTTTCATGTACCAAGTAACTGCAACACCTGTACTTATGTACATAAGTACTTATCCATAATGTTGATTACCTTTACCTCTTGTTATCTTATTATTATCATTAACTTATCTTATCCTATTTATCTTACATTTATCTTATCTGTTAATTACTTATCTATTTAAATACATACCTGTGTTCTACATAAGTAATTATCACTTACCTTTCACTCCCTTGTCCGTGAAATACCTGTACCACAAGTTATCCCTCTGCTACAGTATTTTCACGGTCAAATATTATTACAAATAAATATGTACATGTATTAAATAGTAAGTATTAAGTGTCAATAGAATTAATACATTCAATACATGCACAGATCACAATTATGACTACATTATTAGAGGATCTGTTAAGTACACATCAAGAGCAACTAGGACATTGATCAACTAGTACACAATTATGATGTCACTTACAGATCATGACAAATAATGATCAGTCACTCAATTGATGTGCTCATTCTCCTGGCCAAAGCTCCCTTGATTCTGAGCGCTCATTCTTTCCCCCCTTCAATATTCTGGAACTTATAATCCGTGCCTCTTTCACTGATTAATCCCCAGAATATTCAGACACCAGTTAAACCAGTTAACATTTATATTGATACAGTACCCGTAACCAACATAAATCTTGTCTACATTTATTGTTCTTAAGCTTCAGTACTCTTACTCAACTTATCCACAGTATTCATAGCCTTGCTGAATATTCCCATCAACAATACCTGTTAATCTTCAACTAATTTTGTTAAAGCTTAATAAGTATTGTTAGCCCATTCCCTTTGGGGAATAACCAAATCAATCCCAGGTGAGTCTTAGTACCCTGGATGCCTATTAATACCTTGTATTGATCCGGATGCGCTGTTGATAGCAAGCCTCTCAGTAAAGACCATACTGATAGAGTGAAACCTCCTCTTTACAGGACTGGTATTAATCACCCACTACCTAACACTCACCACGCTCAAAAACTTCAGTCAACTCATAGTAACAACCTTTTTACTATTAAATACTCAGGTTAGTTACCCAGAGGCTGACACAAGGCAGACGACTGTTGAGAAGCAGTGGAAGACATATGAGGAGGGGGAGTGGGTGGTCGCGAAGGACGCTTAGGACAACAGGGAGGTCTCTTGGAGACACGGGGAGGCATGGTGTCAGTAACAGGAGCGACAGGAGCAGGTTTACGATGGAAAGGATAGGGTGGGGAGAGTCATGAAAATGGACTTATGACGCTAAATTTTGGGGGGGACCCAGAATCCTGGAATTGGCAGGGAACATATACCGCTGTCCAATTTCGTCATAAGAGAATGGATATGACGTGGCCTCCCAAACGTGATTGTGAGGCCCCGTCCTGAGCTGTGCACCCCCGAAATATCTGTCATGATCATCTATGACAATCATGGACGGCCAAACGGAGCCTAAGATGTTTTCATTTCATTGACAAGTGAGATTTGAGCAAGAGGTTCAACCAAGAAGTTTAAGAGATGAATCAAACAATCAATACAAGCTGTAGACCTTTGGAAAGAAAGCAGGTTGGAGTAGAAGAAAAAGCTGAGTGATCAGTTGATGAAACACAGCCTGCTTGATTAAGTGAGAAGAAGGATGAGAGTGATCATGTTGCATTCAGATGCAAGTAAATCAGGTGGATATTGCTGAATTGTTATCTTCATCATCCTGGCAGTCTCAATCATATCAATCTTCAAATCAGAGGCAATTGCACATTCAGCTGAGGTGCTGAGGAGTGATTGGGGTTGTGTTCTGTGCGTGTGATGAGTTCCTTGGGAAGATGGGGTTACTATCTTTTTAAAATGGAAATACAGCTTGATTCTGACAGAAAGCTAAAATTATAGTTTGCTGGAAATTTGGGTCTACAGCCTGTAAAAATAGCTTTACAGGGCCTGTAAAACCAACGGGAAGTCCTCCACTGTATTTAGTATTTTAGAAACACAAAAAAGGGGGTCAAAAGTCCACCCAAAAATTGTTTTCACTGTGGAGTGTGGTAAAATTCAGGGATTTTATGAAGTGATGTAAATGACAAGGATGAGAAATCCTCAAATAGAATGTTGATTGGTTTATGCATCAACTCAACAAAGGTTTTTTCAAGGGGGTGAAACCAAAGCACTAGATTATAAAAGAAAAAAAGAAGGACAGTGGATGACTTCCTGTCACCATTTAGAGTGATTTTCAAGCCTTCCCCATTCCTAAATTAACTTTCAGCCTGCTACTAATGCAGAGACATACTTACTAGAATATTTAAACTAAATTAGATATATTATTACATATGTAATCTTCATTACATGTGTGATTCAAGTCTATTTATGTGTACTTAAAAAAGAGACATTCACCAGGAAAAAAAATCAGGAACCTCTATGGAGGTGGTTTCTTTGTATTCATGACTTATTCCAGCTCTATGCCTTCATGTATCCTTGGTGTGCACCTATGTTATTTACCTTCCTATATGATATATATTGAGCCCTTTCAATGGTGTAGTCACTTCAATTTGATTATTAGGAGGAAAAGGTGTACTGGTAGTGAAAAGTCTCTCTCTCTGTTAGGATTGCATAACACAACTTGAAGTCACATTCAAAGAATATATAATTCATTTTAAAAGCTCTTCGGCTGGGTTGCACCAGATGCCATGAGGGTGGTGAATACGGTCTTTGAACAGAATCACTGCTAGGGGAACAGTAAATGGTGGGACAATTTGGACTAATCTGAACTGTTATCCCTTGACTAATCTTGGGCCATAATTTTGATTTTGGATGGCTCTAAATTTTTATTCCTGCATTCTCAACTCCTCTGGGGGTATTTAACCTAAGAAAAGATTTGGTGAAGTGTTAGAATGGCTCAAATTTGTTTGGATGTTGCATGTCCAGGTTTTTGTTTATATTCCCACATAAATAATTACTTAGTATTTTGTTGTGGAATTTTCATGTTTTTGTTGTTTTTCTCTCTTGTTATGCCCAACAAATGTGCAAGAACATATTTAGCTATTCCCTACATAGAAGGTTGAAAAAATAATCACACAATGTTCCACTTCTGGGGCCTACATATCCATATCTCAACTTTGATCCATTCAAGCCAGCTGCCTTCTGTGTTACGGACTTGTGGGTTGCATCAGAGCTTTGCAAAATTGCATATACTGAAGTGCCCAGCAAGTTTTTTTTTTATTACAAAAAGGCTGCCTGAATTACCATCTTTCAACTCAGAGAGGCTTTGTTCTTTGCCCAAGCTTCTCTTTCATGCCACTTATCACATGTCAAGTTTTGGCTTTAACAGCTTTTTTTGGCTTTGAAATGTTACAATTTATTAGCTAAGAAAATGTTGGATGTTCAATTTGACTATTGCTGTCATGGGAACACTATCTTAGAACACCAGGGGTTCCCTAAGCTGTCCTTGATAACCTGTCCAGCAACATGTTGAGGTTAACTTTTCAACCAGTTCATTTGTTGAAAATTTTCTCTTAAAATTTGTGTTCTTTCCCACCTGGATGATGGATCCACCCGGTTCTCCCAGGGTGATAAATTTGGTTGAGGTTCTGTAGTTTCATTCCCCCAGAGGCAGCACTGAGCCACAGAAATACAAAAATCAATCAGGTCAAAACCCTTCACATTGTCTCTATCTTTCCTTTCCTCCACAGAAACCTAGGAAGGTTGCGGTATCTGTGTAGTTCAACAATGGATACGTACAACTTTAGTAGCAAATACATAGCTTGGGATTGAATCTCAATGGCAGCCGCTTCCCTGCCTAATCCATTTAGCAAGTCGGCTGCTCTTCAACATGATTGTTTGTTTTTCCTCTCCATGGATGGCTCTTGTTGAACAGCCGCCAGGCTTAATCGCGAATATACAGCCCCTGAACAAGAAACCAGATTTTGCCTCTTGATTCTTGTTCAGGTGCTGTACATTCGCGATTAAGCCCGGCGGGCTTAAGGAGTGTTGTACTGTCCCATTCTTGGGATCTGGGACAAAATAAAAAGAATAAGGGTTTTCTGAGACCACCAGTACACGTTCAATGAGACAAGCCCGGCGGACTTAATATTTTCTACATCATACATGCTGCTTCACCTTCAACCAGACGATCACCTCGCGCAACACACTCATGCAAAGAGATTGGAAAAGTAGCATTCATACATTCACCATTTCTGAGTTGCAAAATTTAGAAGCTAGGCAGCCACTGCCACCAGTGCATTGGCGAGGATTTTTTCCACCTTAGGCACCAGCAGGAGTCCATTGGCAAAGCCAGAAGCAGTTCACAGCTTATGAATACTTATACCAGATTTCTTGATGAGCTGATGTGTGGGGTTGTTTTAGGCCAACTTCCCAGGGACCCAAAGGTTGATTTGATCATTTAAGTTGATGCAAGTTTTGTAAACCTGATTGCAAAGAGAGTTTAAGATTCTTAGGATGAATTCTGTGAATTCTTGGCTACTAATCTGATGTTTTTAATCTCTTTTTATAGCTTGGCAATCATTTTTGGCTCTGAGGGGGCAGTAGGAAACTGTTTGTAGTTACTAGGGTTTAGAGGTGGCACATTTAGAGGCAGGGACACAAAGCATAACTCTTTTATATTCTCCCTGTATCCATGTAATCAAGGGATGGATACATGGTGGATAGGAAGTTGATACAGAGAATTCACAGACAAATTATATTTGATACCTGAATTTTCCCCTACCCAGAATTCAGACCTTACAATTAACTCTCAAGATCAGTGTGTAAATCAATTTTGCATTTTTATGTGGTTAATAAATTGTAACTTTGTTTCACATAAAATGTTGCTGAAGACTTAGACAGTCAGGTCACCCAGCTTTCATCATAAATCACATGGTATAACTTCCAGGTAATTCCACTCCCGATTCCAATAGCATGAACACCAATTTTACTATGGTATCAATCAAGATCCTGAACTCAGTTGAATTTGGAAGAACCACTTAAATAAGAGGCACAGTTTGATGAGTTTGATGTGTCATCCAGCATCATTAAGTCTTTGATGCAGGATAAGAAGTGACAAATTCATATGATATGTAATGAAGATTGCACCATGTGTGGTTTTCAGTTGCTAACTCATATTGATCATCATAAGTTTACCCTTGCAGAGGAAACACCTACAAAAATCAATCATGGAGGACCCAAAAATCCCTCAAATCAATTATGCATATGATCAACACATCAATTGTGCTGAGTGTACAAGTTTAATGATCAACCACAGGCATGTCTGTTTGATTTGAATGTAGAAATTGTGGCAATATTTATTCCAATCATATGTATCTCATGGGGTCAGACCATACAAAACTATTATTGCTGTAAAATACATGCACAGTTTTTTCTGTGAATGCAGTTTGGTAAGCCATCAGCTTTACTATACACTTTGGATGCAATTGCTTGAAAGATATTTTCAGGGGTATGCACCAATCTTAAATCTAGGATAATAAAGCCCCCCTTAAGCTTCTTGTTCAAATCCCCCCATCCTTCTCCAGAAGAACCACCAAATATCAACTCCATTTAATGGAACCAGATTACCTTGAAGAAAATGATTCTGCAGAGAGGACACATGTTACCAATTTTTACCATGCCCACCAAATTTAATAAGCACAGAGTGAAATCTCCAACTCCTGAATAAAATATATTAATTATTATTCATTTCCTGAGACCTCTGTAATTTTTAAAATTAGTAGAATGCAATTGGGTAGAAATAATTCATTCTTGTTTTGGGAAACTTTGAACTTTCATATTGAAAATTATAATTTTAGATGCCATCAGAATTCATGGCTGGGAAACCAAACATTGACAAAGATTACAAATGAGCAATTTCAATTATTGAGGCAATCAATACACAGGCTACAAGGATGATGAGCACAAGAACACTTGAATATAAGTTATTTTTTTGGATGATACTTTCAGGAAAAAATGGTTTTCCCCCCTAAGTTTATCTTCATAGATCGTCATGTTTTCCTTTTCAAGACATATTTTTGGGCTGTTTTACCTATATGGGACCAGCTTCAATTCATTCTGATCAGTAAAAATATAAAACTTTTCTGGTTGAGACTATTACATATTTATAATTAACTTGATATCAAAAAAATAATCAAAAGATTATAAATACATTTTTCTTCATCAATAAAGCTAAATTCAATCAGGAATTTTTCTCATTTTTGACTAAACCATATCTCCATATTTAATTGTAACTATTTCTGAAATTTAAAAGTTATTGGTAACATAATAATATGAAAATTACACATCATCAGGACTCTCCCAGATATGAGAATTTGAATTTTCAGATCCTCATCAAGATAATTATGAAATATATAAAACTGGATATGCACATATTCATAGGGTCCAGAGGGCTGAAAATGGAATGGCAAGCAGAGGGGAGATGGGGACAGGGGGTATGAATCTTCACAAATCAGGGGGGAGAAATTGTATTGTATTTTTCAATGGAAATAGATTAATTCACTCAGGATATAAATATAAATTTATTTCTATTCCCACTGTACTTCTTACTCAGCAGTGTTACAAATATCCTGAATCAAATAATACAAATTTTATCAAGATAGCAAATTAATTCAATGAATTTTGAGCTTTCTGGGATGTTTTGTCCTTGTATCCATTTATATGAATGAATCTTATCATCTGAATTTTGTCTTTCTTGAATTTACTAAGAATTTTTCTTATCATTTCCAAAATTATGAAATATATATTTGGAACTACTTCAATTGTGGTGGAATCATAGAAATTGTAAAAATATATAGATAAATGCTTCAAAAAGTGGGGATACAGATGAGATACAGGTTGGATATAGCCAGGTTAGGCAAGAGATAAGTGAAGGCACCTCTATAAAAGTTCCACATTTTTTTTCCTGGTGATTATTACTTAGGTATACAAATATTTAAACAGAGGAAACTCTATGAAAGAAACATTATTCCTATACAAATAATAAAAATAGCTGATTATAAATTAAGGGACTTGGTTAATCAACTCCCAGAAATTGGAGAGTCAACTCTCAAACCCAGTTTTCCCCAATATTTGGGAGTCAATTCCCCAAACCCATCAGTGGGTTTGGGAGTCGGGCCCCCAAAAAAATTAAATAAAAAAAAGAAAAACCCCGGAGGGGTTTGGGTTTCAATGTCAGAACCAAAAAAAAAAAAAAAAACCAACGGCTGGGAGGATTCCTCCTGGCCTCAGAGAGTGCTCTTGATGGCCAAGAGAATTTCTCTCAGCCGTTGAGGGTCTACAACCTCAACGGCCAAGAGAAACCCTCTAGGCCAGTGAGTATAATCCTCAACAGATGAGAGGGTTTCTCTTGGCGGTCAAGGGTGTACACCTCAAGGGCCAAGGGAAACCTTTTGTCCTCCAAGACCACAATGGCAAAGAGAAACCTTTTGGCTGTCAAGGGTGTACCCTTCAACAGCTGAGTGAAACCTCTTGGCCATCAAGAGTGTACACCTCAATGGATTAATCCCAGCCGTCAAGGGTGTATACCCTCAACAGCCGGGAGGCACACTCTTGGCCATTGAGGGTATACATTCTCAACAACCCAGAGGAAACCCTCTCAGTTGTTGAGGGTGTATACCCTCAATAGCTGAGATTGTACATCTTGGTTGTTGAGGTGTACACCCTTGATTTCTGAGAGGATTCCTCTTGGCCATTGAGGTGTACACCCTTGATGGCCCAGAGGTTTCTTTTGACTGTTGAGGGTTATACCCTTATGTATCACCTGAGAGAAATCCTCTCGGCCGTCAAGAGAGCACTCTCTGCGGCTGGGAGGAATCCTCCTGGATGCTTATTTTCTTTTGATCACCAACCCCCCAAAACCACTTGGTTTTGGGGCATCAACACCCAACCCCTCTGGGGTTTTTCTTTTTTTTATTTTGAATTCTTTTGGGGCCTGAATCCCAAACCCACTGACGGGTTTGGGGAATCAACTCCCAAATTTCAGGGAAACCCGGGTTTGGGAGTTGACTCTCCAATTTTTGGGAGTTGGTTGACCAAGTCCCTGAATTAATTTTTTTTTTAACAAAGAATCTGCTAATAACTTCTGCACCTTGAGGTTTACTTAGTATATCATTGCAGATTCTGAATTTGCAGGTAAACTCAACTAGGATACGCCACCAAAATTACCCCTTAATTACCACTCCTTCACATACTTCTGTGACACCTGAGGGACACCAGACCTCTGATACATAATGAACCCCCCCCCCCCAACATACTAGCAGTTGTAGCCATTTTACATGTGTAATTAAGGTTTGTGTGGTTTGGGAAAAATCCACAAACAAGGTTTTCATCATTGAAAACTTAACTACAGGAGCACAGACCTTGCAACCAACCTGGTCTGGGTGATCTGTGGCCCTTTTGGACCAATTGGGCCATTCACTCTCTGTCAAAGATCAGCCCACAAATTATACCATGATCTCATGGGTTAAATGAGGGCTAAAGCTTTGTCAGAACACCAAGTAAGCCTGGTTACAATCATTACATCATTGCCATAACACCGGTAACCAAGCTTTACAGGTGCTATGGCTGATCTACAGGTTCCCATGGCCTAGTAGAAGAGCTACACTAGCCAGATAGACTCCTCCTCCAGGGGCTCAGAATTATTATTCAAGGACCCCTTCTTGCCCCTGAAACTTGATTCCCCATCTTCATCATCAGTTACCAGCAATAACTGTTGAATTTTTTGACTGATGACAAGAGAAAATGAGATTTTTGAGATGAGGGCGCAAACAGTTTAAGGACCTTTTTGGGAATGGTTCACGGAAAAAGAATGAGAGAACCAATGGTTTTTATTCACAAGTATCTAGCCAGGATTAAATAGACTAAATACAAGTGCACAAAATGTGGTAGAAATGAAAATGAATAAAGAAAGTATTTTGAATAAAAAATTGAGAGAAGATAAAATAAGTTCTTGAAAGTAACAAACTAGACAACAATTCTCAGTCTCTTTTAGTCAGGTCAGATGAGTTAATCAAGATAAAATATTTTAAATCACAAATAACAGGAGGCGTTAATTCTTATTAACCAATTTTTCAATATCAGACAATAAACCAGAAAAAGAAGAAATTAAGACCGTAGAGACAAGATTGATTGAGTTGAGATTATTTTCTTAAGATTCAAATTTGACTCAAAAGAGGACTCATAAAACAACAAAAAACATGCTACTTGGAAAAATTACTGCAGTCTGATTTAAGGGGATTAGAAAGGGAAGAAGGGCAGAGAGAGCAAGAAGGAGAAAATTCCAACACACCCCCGCGACTCTGACCTGAGGACCAAAGAGTGATTGATGTTTGAAGGAAAGGAGAGAGAAACCGATGGAGTGATCTGAATCGGAAGTGAGGAAGCAATTGATTGAGATTTTTGGGAAATTGCTAGGCTTGCAGCATTCTACATGCCACGGAGGCAGTTGTGGCTTATGTTGTTGGCATTCATGTGAGTGCCATTGGGGAGAGTGCACCAGTTGGTCACTCTGAAGCTGATTGAACTGATTGACAAGAGTGAGGGGGCAGACTTGGTTTTTGTAGCCTTCTACGGATACTTGGCCCAGCAATTGTGGGGCTGATGGCTGGTTTTTCCGCAGTGAGAGCAGGCTGCAGCTGACTTAGAGGTGTTGGCTTTAGTCATCATGGTGGCTTGATCGGAGGAGGAGGCAAAGTATTCTTTCTTGATGTTATTCGAGATCATGTATGATTTGAGGTGCTTGACCGCAGATTTGAATGTCTTGGTAGCAAAGCCCATTGCAATAATGTCACGGAATGATTGGTATTTAGCCCAGTTCCTGCTGTTTTTCACCTGAATATCAACCAACCAAATAACACCTTTTTCCCAGCACTCCTCCAACACCTTTCAATCACCTTTTTGAGTGCCTCAAGAAGGGTTTAATCCCTCCTGAAGTTCCCCTTGGCTTGGAAATAAGTATCAGGTTCAAAGTAGTATTTCCTTAACACTTCAGTTGTAGGCTTTTCTGGACATACTCCTTTATTATAAAGAACCAGACGATCAGATACTTCAAAACACCCCTGTTTACACAGGTCCTCATATTAGAGGGCACAGTAAATACCACTGTAACTCAGGCCTCTGTAAATAAGGGCCAGTACCATAAGGCACAAAAATTCAATTTTTCAGAATTTATCTTACTCAAATTATCATTTCATCAGAATTGAACATAACCAGATTCTCTTATTTACAAAACTGCCCACCTCTTTCATCACATGTACATACCTTCATCCATTCTTGCACCTTGTGTAGCTAGAAGAGGCAAGCTCTTGGTATCACATAGGCTGACATTAACACCCCAATCATAATTCCAACCAGCTCACATGAGAGCTTTCTTCACGAGGCTTGTGAAAAAACAATTTTTGATACCAGAAATTAAGATCTACGGGGTGTGAATTAAATTCTGGGAGGGTTGTTTCTCAACCGCAACAGGAAGTCATCCAGTTGCACATTTCTTGTGTGATTGATTTAGAAAAAAAAATAGTCAAATCAGCAATACAAAGGACAGAGCACATGATTGATTTTCAGACCAAACAAGCATCAACAAGAGAGAAAGAGAGAGAGAGAGATAGAAGCTTTGATATGAGTATATGTTTATTTATTAATATCCCAGCCATGAATACTACAACACTGAAAAAGAAAAAAAAGTACATCATACATAGATACAAAACACATAACAAAAACAACAACAAACAACATGGGAGAAACTGGTTGCAATAGTTAGAAAAAAAAAAGAAGTACAGCATCAAGTAGAGAGGTGAAAGCTGAAAGTCAGTACACAAAGTGAAGTGAAACAAAAGGCCTATGAAGATCAATAGTAAGAGGAGAGAAGTATGAAAAAAGAGGAGAGAAACAGTGTGCTAATGTAAGAAGATGAGCTGGCCACAAGCTCATCCCAAGACACTGCAGAAGTTCTTGTATACTCGTGTGTAAGATGTTATACTTTAACAAACAGCTGGTCGACGACAAACAGGACAAGAGGCCACACATTTGGTTAACCAATGATCAACGCATGGTCTACACACATAGAACCACATCCAAAAAACAGAAAAAGTAAAGAGTTAATAAGCATTGATTCCGTTTCTCTTTTCAACAAAAACAATAATACAATGGGGGAGAGAGGGGGGAACACTCAACTTATGAAACATATGTTTACATTCCAAGATTTGAACTTGATCTTCATCATCATACTCATCTAAACAAACTAATAATCAATCCAAAAAAATCAGTTTTGTTTTCCCTTTTTTTTGTAAAAAAAAGTGAGGAACAAGAAAGAGACTCAACTAAGACATTTTTCGATTGTATTTTCGAGGACTGAAATTGAATCCTCCTCATCACCATTGAGATCGACATGATCGGCGAGAGCAAAAGACTCGAATCCATCCAAGACCTGACCCGAAAGATGATGATCATCATCCTGAGGATGATCATCTGAACCGACGGCGCTGGAACCAACGAGATCTTCCGCGACCGAATGAGAAGAAGCAGAACAAACAAGAGGAGAATGTTTACGATGATCATTCAGATAACCGAACGAGAATTTCTTAAATTTGAGAGAATTGTCGATTTCCTGCTGAGTAAGGGTGACAAGATTCGGAGGTTTGTTGGTAGCCGTACCAAAGAACGGAGAATTAAGAGTATTATGACCGATCAGTTGAGCCAATCGGACCATCGCCTCATAATCCAATAACTGGTCTTCTATCAAATCCGGTCTCGTGCGTCCCCCTCCTCCTTCTTGCTGATGATCTCCTTGACTAGGACGAGTGCCTCGTAAACGACTAATCAAGCCGGTCCGATTACCGTCTCCTTCTTCTGACTCTGATCCTATTTCTCTTCCTTCCATCGTCGAGGTCGAAGGAGGATCATTGGGTTGAGTAGAATTGGTTGAGTGGAGGCCGTGAGGAATGAAGAGGGAAGGAGCGGTGAAGATCGGATGCCTGGAACCATCGATTGAAAAAGAAAAAATTAGATGATTAGAACGATTATCAAATAAACACATGTATAAAGTGACTTACGATTCGGGGTATAGTCCGGCAAGGACGAAGATGAGCCAAGAACGGTGTGGGGGACTGCTGAGGGTATCCGGGATGAAGGCGGAAGGAGGCGGAGGAGGTACGGCGGTGGGGTCGACAGGCGGACGCTCAGCAGACGGATCGACGGTGTCTTGCCCACCATCATCATTATCGTCCGACCAGGCCTCGAAGGAATCCTCGCTCTGGTCCTGGAAGATCCGTCTCAAGCCGATAGACCCCTCGTCGAGACTGCCGAAGGACCCTCGTCTTTCTGTCGGTGGCAAAGCTGAGTGAGTCGACCGATCCTCGTCCACTTCATCTTCCCATACAGCTGCACTCTCTCTATCGTCCTCAACGGAGTCCGTAGACACCCCCGGCCCGGAGTCGGCTTCGTCTGCGCCTTCCCCACCGGTCTCGGCAGCAGACACCGGAGCCGCGATTCGTTCGAGCGCACCCAGTAACGGGTTCGGAGGGGCAGAGCGGACGCCGACGAGTAAGACCGGAATTAACGCCGGACTTCCATTCGCGTCATCCGTCGTTGTAGGGCCGTTTCCATTTCCGGCTTGCGCCGGGGGGTGAATGTCTTCGAAACGATGCATCCTAAAGAAGTTGAACGAGAGTTGCGAGTCGGGTTGATCGCCAGGACCAGCACCCTCTCCGCCATCGAGCCTATCAGCCTCGTGTGGTTCCCCCTCCTGCCCCTCGGCAAAAGGCAATTCGCTAGCCAATCGGATGCGCTCGTCTAGCACTTCTTGATTGACAGGTGCTGGTTGTTGTGCCCCCAGAGCCACTAAGATCGCGTGGCCCACATCGGTTTGGAGGTCTCTCAAGAAGCGTTCGAACCCTCCCCGATCGGAGTGATTCGGGTCCAAATCGGGTGGAATGGGACTGTCGAAAGTGGTAACGGGGATTTCTTGAGATGGATCAGAGGGTATTGGTGTGGTAGGAGAAGAAGATGAATGGTCGGTCAAACGGCGACGAATTGGAAGTCCAAGTCGCTGCATAATCCTGGAGCCGGTTGATTCCGCCCTGCGAGGGGTGGGAGGTGACGGAGTCGCGCCAGTATGGGTGGAAATCGGTTCAGTGAGCGGGCTACTGGCTGATTGAGAAGACAATGAGGGTGATGAGGGTGATGCTGGGGCCGGGAGGGTTAGCGACTGTTGGTCACTATTACTGGCGTGCGGTGAGGAAGCGGAGGAGCGAGGGCTTTGATGGGGCGACGGCTCGGTACTAGCGTTGACGAGAGCACCTCCGAATGCAGCCCTGAGCGCATCACGAAGCGTGGTTTGTAGTCCAGCATGGGCCTCATGTTCGGTATCAGAGTTCTCTTGGTTTAGGTTGGGGGGATGGCTCTCAGCGGGTGAAGCTTGGTGGATCCGTGCAGATGAGGCGGGTAAATCGGTTGGATGGGAGGCAGATCGAGGGCGAGAGTTGGGTGGCTGGTGGTTAGCGGGGTTTTGAATTGATGTGCCATCAGCGTGAATAGCATAGGGAAGAAGTGACGAGGCTGTGGCGGCGGCGGCGGCAGAGAGCAACCTGGATATCATCGTGGCTTGTTCGAGCTGTACTTGTGATGGCAAGATCGAATGAGGAGATGTCAAGGCGGTAGGCGATTCGGTGGATTCTGGAGGATGTGGCAGATGGGTTTCTGAAGGGGATGGGTCAGGTTGTGAGGGTGGATCTTCTGCTGAATGGCTAGATCGATTATCGGACGAGTCAGGCTCAATGTGATCGGGGTGGTTTGAGTGGGGAGTCTGAACGGGTGAGACGGAATCGGATGGCTGAGGATGAGGCTGAATGGGATCCACGGGGGTTGCGGAGTTGATCGGAGGCTCATTGACGTTACGGACGACTACCATGCCTTGGACATATATCCTTCTGGCTGGTATTTGATTTCCTACTGGTGATGATGGTTGATCGGCGGTGGGGCTTGGCTCGTTTTCGGGAAGAGGAGTAGGGGCATCGGCAGATTGAGATACCTGGTAGGAATTAGACGCATCAGTTTCAAGTTCGATTCTATGATGATCAGTAGATTAGCTTGCCTCTACTGGACTTGGGTCGGCTGGGATTGGTGACGAGGGTTGAGTTGGTGGAGGGTGATCTGGTTCTGGGAGCTGTTGATTGTCGGTGTTGGGTTGATGATGGTCAGCTTGGATGGGTGAATTGGCGATAGACGGGCTGGCCGGTCGGATCTCTGAATGAAGTAGATCGAGGTGGGTTGAGTGAGGTCTTCTGGTGGATGTTGTTCGATTGGAGATCGATCTGAATGGGTTCCAGGATGCGGTTCTTGGTGTTCTGAGTGAGTTCCTCCTCCTTCTTTTGATCGATTGGAAGATTGATGAGTGGTGTCGTCGGTTATCTTGAAGATGATGGTTTCCTTGTTCCTGGCTGCGTGTTTTGGTAGTAGTTGTCTGTTGTTGTTGTTGATGGTTTCGTTTGTTCGATGAGTTGCTTTGTCCCATCTTGTGTTCCTCTCGTGGTTTTCCTTGTCTTTCTTGTTGACCGTCGCTGTTCTTGCTGTTCCCTGCAATCTCCCTTGTTGACCGTCGAATATGGTTTAATTGGTTTTGGTTTTGGTTTTTTCGGTTTTTGCCTGTCTGTTTGTGAACTCTAAATCCAGTTGAGATGTGCTTAGGTAATCGTTCCATTCCAGACCGGGGACCTTCCATCAAAACTTCAAGCAAGAAAGATACGTCATCACCCAGTACATAGACGAAGTATCATGTGACCTCCCCTCTATACATGAATGCATGGCTGGATGGATCTTCTTTTCTTTGCGGTCTCTGTGTGCTTCATCAAGTCATTCAACAAATAGCTTTGTTGCCAATACATAGCGGGGTTCACGATAGCATTTTTCGCTTCTCGCACCCGTTATTTTTTTTTCTTGCTCTCGCACAGCTGATGTTAATTTTCCCAGCAAAAATTCAAAATTCTGCACTGATTTTTATGCCTGCAATGGTGCTGCAGTTGCTTGCGAAAACCAAGAGAGCTTTGTGCGAGAAGCTAAATTGTGAACCCCGCTAATGAAAATCACAATTTTGTTCCTTAGTAGTCATACATCCACATTGTCATGGTTAACTATCTTATCAT